TGTGTAAAGTAGTCAAAACAGTTGGCCTGAAAACTCTGTTATACATTCTTATTCTAAAATCTCAGGTTAGTGAACTCAGGTCTTTTTGTATTACTGCTTCGTGACCACAGAATAACAGAGTAAATAAAGAGGTAATTATCTCTTCTTTCTTGTTTGCATATAATGAAGACTACAAAAGAAAGCTGAAGTTTACGCGACTGGTATGCATTATTATATCTTTTCAGAAGTAATGAAAATAGAAATCCTTGAAAAAGTAGACCTTTATATTGTACCACATGCGGGGACGACCGAGACAAGCGAGAGAGTGTGAACGAGAAAAATCTTTCTTTAAAACCGGCTTTTCTGACTAATGATGCTTGCTTGTTTGCTCAGCTGACGAGAAATTCAAAACTTAACTCTCGTGGCTGGCAAAACCGGGAGACTGTGTAAATGTTCAAAGATCTGTCGTTCTCCCTGAGATGTTGTGTTTTTTATAAGAACATTGGAGAAATTGTATTTCTTAATTAGTGATTCGTCGGCGTAAGGATAAAGTTTCTTTTTGGGTTCCGCCAGTTAAATTTTTACCAGTAAGGTCCACAAGTCCACTTCGAATTAATGAATTTAATGGATCAAATTGTGTTTGCCAATTCAAAGAACTTTGCCCGAGACAAAAAATGTTAAACAGGATTGAAACGCAAATCATGTATCTCGAGAACTCGAACCAATGCAGAACTGTCAGTTTAAAAGTTTTCATTGCGTGTCTGTACCAGGTTCACATTATATTCAGTCATAACATTTTCTCCGCCGGGTTAGAGTGAATTTAAATACGTTATTGACCATACGCTTTACTCACTTAAAATCAGGCGCAACAGTGTTTCAAAATAAGTTTATATTCTGGGTTTGGTTATCCCTGGAAAAATTGAACGATACTGTGAGGTACAACGCTAGCGTTTGCCGCGACTCATCAACAGATACCGACTCACGTAAAATAATTGTCTTGCGAGCGAAAAACAATTCATAACTGGAAACTGCATTGAAATTCTATGCAGTGCGAATTCTGCAGGTCCTGCGATGAGAAATTCTCTTACAATTACTAACTGAAAAGACTCTGAATAAAATAAGAATGTTTCGTTAGTATTAAAGTTGCCTTCCGTCAAAACGCGTGACAATATTTTTAAAGTGAAGTTGAATTGCTGCTGTAGGGAAACGGAACTTGGACCGATTGTGTTCTTCGCCTTTCAGGGGTAGTGCTTTAGGGCTCACCCTTTGCACAATTTTAAACTCTTAACTGGCGTCCGTATTGTGTGAAAATAAGTTTACTCGAATTAAGGCACACGTTTCCTATTGCATTCCAGCTAACTCAGAGAGTCTTAGATTAAAAAATGGTTTGGTTGAAAGAGGGAGTCTATAGCAAATAATATGAGCACAAATCTCCAGATTTTGACGCCGTTGTCGCTTCAGAATCCATTCGTTGATTCCTCTTCTCTATCCTGCGTTTTTACGAATTGTGGAGACTCCTATTTTAATGATTCGCGAAATTGCACAAAAAATTGAAACTGACTTAGCATCTTATAAAAGACGTTCAAGATTATTGATCTTTTACGAAACGTTTTATTCAACATTAAACCAAACTTTTCGATGGCCACATAACCCGTAGATCTATGAAAAATGGAATTTCACACCATTTACCAGTTACACTCGTAGAACAGTCAGTTCTACACGCTCTGCAAACCCAATTTATTTTACGATCACGCACCGGAGAAAGAGTGGAATATTGAGAGTAATTTTTTGAATCTGTTTTGCTTCAAAATAGCTTATTTCCCGAGAAATAGCTAAGTAAAACGA